CCCCAAAACCCCAAAACCCCAAAACCCCGAAAGGCAAACAATAGAATAGTATTCAAAATTGATCAATTAAATTCATTTACCTGATACCTTATAATTAATCCTCGTAAATGCTTTTGGATCGAACTTCTTTCTTAAGCTGCTTAATAATGAATCTGCAAAAGCCTCAGGATTAAAATCAATAACTTTCACTGGTTGCACTGGGGATTTTTCCTCTACAATATCTTAATTAATCTCAATTTCTTAAAAATCTTTAACAATAGCTTTATTTTCTTCTTAGATCTCACTCTGAATATTTTACTAATCTAGGATGTCATTAATGGCTTCTATTTTATTAATTGTATCTTTATTTGCGACATGATTTTTTAGAGCATTAAAGGCAATTTAAATATCCTTGTGCTCTAGTATCCCATATATCAGAGTAGCAAATAGAGCGAATTATTTCTGCATTGGATTAGCTTTGGGTGTCTTATTGATTTTACTTAAATCCAATTAATTCAAGACCACATTGTTTGTCATTTACTATCCATCAATTATAATTTCATTCATTGAGGCAACAAAAGATTAATTATTATCAGTGTATGCTTTCAAATTGTAAGTCTCATTTTCACAGGAGCATTCAATCAGCAAAACATCATTAAAGTAGCCCTATCTGTTGAGTGTATTTGAATAAAACTTAAATTTCTACAAGCTCATGTGATTGTTCTTTTTATCCCCTCTCTCATATGCGATTCTCATGCGGTGAATAAATGGATCAAACTTCAAGTATTATCCTCCTGAAATCAATGTCTTTAGCAATTCAAAGTCATCCTCTTAGTATCTTATCTTTTGCTGCACGTTTTTCAAGCTTAGTATTAAGATCTGGGGTTTATCCTCACTAATTTCTAACTTCTTCTTATTTTCCTCAGGATTAGGCTTTGCATTTGGGGGCCTATTAAACTTTTTATAATTAATTAAGTTTTAGACTCTTTCCATAGTGGTTTGAAATTCATAATCGTATTGCATATAATTCCCTAGTTTATCCAAAAGTTTATCAATTTTCTTCTTCAAAACATTTGGATCTGAATTTTCTGCAATATGAATACTAATTAGCATATTAAAGGCTCCTTTTGGACATTCTGATCTTCTAATGGCTTGCTTGTATATGGATTTTGCTTTTTTAAAGTTATAGAGTACCATATGATAGTAAAGACCAACTATGAAGTATTTGCAATTTCTCCAGTCTCTCTTAAAGCTCGAAAACTTCTTGAAATTATTAAATTTGCTAAGTATTTTTTGAACGCTCTAAAACTTTTGCTCTTATTCAAGCTCATAGGGAAGAATTTTCTAATATCTGATACTTTAATCTAAGGAAGTGACAATCTATTATGCAAATATAAAGTGAGCAACATAGTAGGCAAAAGGTTAAACTAAGCCCCAACTGTAGCCTGTTTATTCTTCAATCCCACTTATCAAACTTTGTTGAAGATAAAATTTGGTGTCAATCCATTCCACTTTTTGAACTTCAGCTGATCTAATAGGCTTTATGTTTGAGTTATGCTCATCAATGTTCTAGATAAGGTAGAGAGTAACGAATTTATTCTTGATTGTTTCAATCTTTATAAATTAGTTCTCATCTATGTAGGGCCTCACATTAAACTGAATTTCCTCACTAATTTCTCTGATAGCACATTCAACATCAGTCTCTCCTTCATCAGCCTTCCCTTTTGGGAAATCTAGCTTATTTACATTTTCATCTCTTTCATTCTGATATACAACTAAACCAATAAAGTTTGAATAAATATTACTGAATAAGATTTTCTCAAATCGCTTTGAAAACATTAAAGCTCCAAAAGAAGGAATCATCTAGATATAATGTTTGTAATCCTCCCACTTATTATCAAAGTCAATTAGTAAATGCTTAAGTCCCTGCCATCTGCTGCATATCTTCCTTGAGAACTTCTTTTCAAAATAATTATCGCTATAGATTTAATTAGCTTTCATTAATGTAATACGCTATTGGAGGTATTGCACAATGATTATCTGCATAAAACCAACATGCAATCTTTAAATTGCAAAAAATACGAGGAGGCTCTCTTTCTTATTCAGGCAAATTAATTACGAATCTACAGATAAGCTCATCCAAGATGTGGTCTGGGATATTTTCGGGTGAACTATTTATTGGCTAAAGTTGTCTCTAGTCTGCCATCATTTTATCTTACTAAGGTTTTAAAATTAATAATATATAAGTCTGATAAATTACAAAAGTTTTATGATTATCCAGGGCATCAGATAATAAAATTTTAATTGATAAATTGGCGATAAATAATGAGTGTAGCGGTTGATAATTTAACTCGAGCAGAGCAAGAAGACGCTCTGAATAATCATGAACAAAAAAATCACTCATTCAATTAAAAAGAAGATACAATGAAAAGAGTGCTGTAACATATAAACAAACTTCATAGAAAGAGAACTAAAAAGCCATCAAAAGTAATGAAGTGGTATGATGGATGATAAGCCAGCAATTTCTTGGAGCAAACTGGATATAAAAATGCATCAACTAAAAACTTGTCTCATAATGAAGCTATATTTGACGACAGGGATAGAGAGATTAATGAGATATTGGTAAAGGATAGAAACAGGAAAGGGTATGGTATGAGGGGTGATGGGACAACAGATACTGAAGGAAATGTTCCATTAATTCTTAAAGTTGAGTATTTATTCAATGAGTATGAGAGGCACAAAGCAAATATTAGAGATACTGAGCTATTCTAGCATTCCTAATCTAAAATAGTCCATAGGAATAATATGAAACTTATCAAGAATGGAATGATAGATACAAAGAACTTCGAAGTGAGCAAAGAGCTAGAATAGAAATATGTTCATCAAAGGAAGTTAAATGCGTCGATTGATGTGTCTAGATAGTTCAAGTTAAGGAAGTTTACCAAAAATAATTAATAAACTCCAACTATAGGAATGGTTTCACTGAACACCTCAATGACTGTTGAGTCCCTTGTCATCCCAGGTAATCTTAAAAATAAGGGACTTAGCAGTCTGAAGCTGATGAGCAAATCTCAGCAGGCTCTTCAGAGTGCACTGAGTCACTATGCATTTACCCCAGATACTTAGGAAATTCTGCAGGTAGAAAAATTAGAGGACTTTAATGAATTTTATAAACGAATCAAACCAAAATATGTAGACAAAATTAATGTTAAGAAGGATATCGATGACTATGTCGATAATAAAGTTAAGTAACGAAGGAAGCTGATTGGGAAAAACTTGGTAGCTTAGAAGTGGACTAAGTCTCTGGAGCGAAGCAGTAATCTTAAAGTTAATTAAAATATTGCTAGGGGAATAAAGCATAGTACCTGAGGTGAGACATCTCGATAAAAGTGTTCAAGATTAACTAAATCAATCTCCTGAGATAAAACAGTCTCTGAATAAATTCAGTCGGTCCCTTGAATTATCACTAGATGAATTTGACTCTACTATAAAAGCGTTATAAGGTATATTCTATATGCTGATTAGAATCATCTTTAGGTCTCTAGAAGCGAACACCTAATGACTAAGATCTCAAAAGAAAATTAGACATTTAGAGAGAAAAGGATAAAGCCGAATGCATTGGCTATCTTCTAGCTGATCACAAAAAGCCATTCAGATAATTCTCATTCACTATAGATGCTGTGAATTTTCCAATGACTTCTAAGTATGGCAAAAAGAAGTTCTTAGACAGTAATCTTAGTAAACCACCTTTACCTCCAATGCTTAAAATGAATTAATCATAAGTAGCTCCTTAAACCAGCAAATACATTGATTTAAAGAAGAGAATAATACACGCTTGTACAGAGTATGATACCTAGAATAAGAAAAAATTCTGATTACAATTTTCTACACTTAATTTCATGATTTCAAATCACTAATTCAACGATTACTTAGCAAGGTGGGGTTTTGGGGTTTTGGGGGCTACTT